ATTTAAAATTCATTACATTTTATAAGGATGCCATACATGATTAGTTCCAAAACAAGACTTATATGGTTATAATATGGTTGTTAACATAACAATGCCAATATTTATTGTAACAGATTAAAAAGCTATATAGATATATGTATATGTGCAATGATGTGAAGAGAACAAATAGAGACCAGTTTAAGGAAATATTGTTTAAGGCATAAATGGTGCAATGAACTATTAATCCAATGATTATGTGCCATCTATTACTATTATTAAATAGTTCTGAGGTTGAGTTATGGTAAATGCATGAATAATGCAATGCTTAGTCCTAATGTATATATTCTAGTAGTGATGTATATTTAATGTTATATCAGACTTAATTAGAACTGTATGACATGAAATGTGATGTACTGTTTGTAAATATAAACATGTTTGATAAGTTTATGGATAATGATATGTTTATCCAAATTATATTATTTATTATAACAGATTAAAAGCTATTGTTGGCTCTATGGTCGAGTTGTTGTCGCTTTGACACATTCCCCATTTCCATTCTAAATTTTATATTGACATATGCTAAACATATGGTATTAAGAATACAAAAAAGATTAGATCATGAATATATTGTTAAAGGCAAATATAATGCAATGACATCTTAGCTAAATGTTTGGATATGTTATGTTATCTTTTAATGATATTTTATAGATTTTTGAACTAAAACTGTATGCCTCGAACTACTGTTTGGATATATATATGTAGACAAGATTGTCAATGCATGAATAATGCTGTTCTCATTCCCAATGCATCTATACTAGTTATTACAATGTTAATGCCCTTTTTGCTAAGCCAATGGGGGCAGTCAATGTTACCGTTGTCTGTCTGTATGTAAGTCTCTGTTCATCACGAAATTGATTTCCGTTCTATAATATTAATATGGCTCAACTGAATGTTATTAAATATATAAACAATGTTTATTATCACCAAAAAAACCAAGATAAATTTAAAATTTGGATTGTGTCCCTCTTATCATTATAGTTATATTTCCATTTATATGTGGAAATATTTTTACTATTTTAATAATATTTCAAATTCTTATTTGCCGCAGACAAATGTAATACAAAACATTATTTATTTTAAAGTGCTCATTCCCACCAAAAAAATAATCAAACGCAAAATTGGATGGTGATTCTTTCACTATTCTAGAGACGTGTCCCATAGTAACATAATATGCAAGAAAGTACCACTGATACATTCCCAAATTATTTACTGTTATATATAGTTTAGAGTAATGTACAACTACATGTATACATGTATATGCTATGCAATGTGATGAACTTTTTGAAGTTTGATTAATGATTAATTTTTATGAATAATGTATATATGTTAGTCCAATGTATATATTTATAGTTTTGGCATTTTTTACTATTAATAATAGGTATAGATAGTCTATTGAACTGTATTAAATGGAAATAGCATGAATTCAATGGATAATGCAATAATAAATCAAAATGTTTATATATACCAGTTATGACATTTTTTAAAGTTATCTCATGGTCAATCCAAAGTTTGATTGTAACACATGTGATCCTTTTAATCCATTTTTATAAGCCCGTCAAATTTTTGACGGGACGTATTTTGGTATACAAATGTCCGGCGTCCGTCCGTCTGTCCGTCCGTCCGTCTGTCTGTCCGGCGTAAACATGTCGCACCGTAACTTGAGAATGACTTATCCAAATTTCATGAAACTTAAAATAGTTGTTTCTTATGATGGTCAAACGATCTGTATACTTTTTGGTGAATATAAAATTAAAACTTTTTGAGTTACTGGACTTAGTAACTAAAAACAGGTGTGTGTTTTTTTTCACATGTCGCGCCGTATCTCAAAAACAATTTATGATTATTGCTTAAAACTTTACACACTTCTTAGTTATATTAATCTTAAGATCTGTATACTTTTTGGTGATGATTCAAAATTTTATTTTAGAGATATTGAGTTTTTTGTTAAAAAAGGGGGAGGGGTTTTTCACATGTCGCGCCGTATCTCAAAAACAGTTTATGGTTATTGCTTAAAACTTTACACACTTCTTAGTTACATTAACCTCAAGATCTGTATACTTTTTGGTGATGATTCAAAATTTTATTTTTGAGTTGTTGAGTATTTTGTAAAAAAAGGGGGAGGGGTTTTTCACATGTCGCGCCGTATCTCAAAAACGATTTATGATTATTGCTTAAAATTTTACACACTTCTTAGTTATATTAATCTAAAGATCTGTATACTTTTTGGTTTTGATTCAAAATTTTATTTTTGAGATAATGATTTTTTTTTTTTAAAAGGGGGGTTTTCACATGTCGCACCGTATCTCAAAAACAATTTATGATTATTGCTTAAAATTTTACACACTTCTTAGTTATATTAATCTAAAGATCTGTATACTTTTTGGTTTTGATTCAAAATTTTATTTTAGAGATATTGAGTTTTTTGTAAAAAAAAAAGGGGGGTTTTCGCATGTCACGCCCTATGTCAGAAACGGTTTATGCTTATTGCATAAAAATTCACACACAAGACGACGGGCGTATCATGCGCTCATGGCGCAGCTGTTTATTGAATATTAAGAGACTATACAAATGCTTGCTCAGCATACAGATAAATGATTTGAAAACATAACAGATATGCTAAATGAATAATAAAATGCTAAATTCTGTTCATATAATATAGCCCTACATTTGAAAGTCATTATAACTGTATGCTTAGCATATATATAACTGGATTAAATCAAATATATGGGATCATGTAAAATGTTTCTCGTTAAATGTAAAATTAAAAAAAACGTATTTTGGTATATGTGGATATTTTAAGGAATATCAAATAGAAATTTACAACGTATTATAGGAAAAGAGAGGTTCACAAAGGGTTAGAATGGCCCTAAATTGGTCAAGCAATTACAAATTTCAAATAAATAGAAATGTTAGTGATAATTCTATTAAGACTAAAATATACTATTTTGGCACCTACTATTAAATATCTTGAAGCTATGACCCCATAATTATACATTATTTGTATTTTTGGTCAATTTTGTCTGAAATTTATATGTTTTTTGCATAATTAACCATGGCTGCCATACAATTCCAAAAAGTTTTTATTTTGATGAATTCTTTATCAAATTTTGAATCTTTTGGTTACAAAACATTTTGGATTGTAGGTGGTGCCCAAATTTTCATAAAGCTTTCATGTCTGAAAATTGCACCAAATCATTATATTTGGATAAAATGGGCCTATTAATTTGGAGAATATAATGTACTATTATGAAAGAACTGATTTATTGAGCGTTAATAAATTTGAAATCGACCAATTTACGAACCAAATTGTGAACTATTTGGAGTTTTATTGTAAGATTTATATTTTAGACCGCTCTGGGCTATAAATGAACCGTGTCCTTTGAATAAGTGATTTCACAATAACCATAATACTAAGTACCTGTTAGAAAATAGCCCTTTAACAGTACATTGTTAAAGATGAATATATTCCAACAATGACCAATATTAATGATGTAATGAGATTATATATATACTGTTTTATATTGTTTTATATTGTTACATATATAAATGAAAATTGAAACCAAACTGTTGTCATTATTTAAAAAAGAGACACGAAAAGGGAGGTATGATTGGTAATCAGACACAGAAACAAAATGATGAAAAAGAAATAAAGCTTACCATACAACATCTTTACAATCAGAAAAAAACTATACTAAAATCAGTTAGAAATAGCCATGAAATGACAAATATTAAACAATATAAATCAGAAAACTAATGGCCACATCAATGTACAAACAGAAAATCAAAAGATATACACCAAAGAATTACAAGCCCTGTTTTACAGGCCTCTTACTAAGGACCGACGCATTCATATTGAAGTTGTGATCTATATGTATGGTGCAAAATCATCTCATTGCGAAAACCAGTGGTGTCAAAGTACTAAATCGGATCAAAGTAAAAAAAAACGAACATTTGAAAAACTATCCAGATGTTGTTAGATTCAATTAACAATAATACCATCATTAGTGAAAGGCTATCTACCTCATATAATACATTGTAATATTTACAATGAACCATCTAATAATTAAAAAACAGAACCTATAGCTGCTGATTTTTTTTCCCATAATAAATAAATGATATGAAGTGTTACAATAAAACAAAGATAACTCAGTGAAGCTATTTATAACATTTAAAAAGTTTGTGTCGACTGCAACAAAATCTGGAATAAGCAAGAATAAGATATAGTAATCTTGCTGTGTAAACATTAGCAATTGATTAGAAAACAAAATGTTTCATAAAATAGAAGACCTGGATACTACATACATTGTTTATAAATTGCCAAATGTAGAGCAGGATCTGCTTACCCATCCAGACCACTTGAAATCACCCCAACTATTGGTGGGGTTCGTGTTGCTCAGGCTTTAGTTTTCTATGTTGTTTCTAGTGTACTCTTATTTGTCTTTTTCAGTTTTAGACATGGCATTGTCAGCTTATTATCGATATATGAGTTTACTGTTCATGTGGTATCTTTCACCCAAATATTACAATTTATCTGTTTTAATATGATTGTCTTGACCTCTTTCTCATAATTCAGTGACTACTCAAAAAATTATTTGCTATGTTGATTCTCTGTTATAAGTAATAAGCTTACGATTTTTGCATGTGTGCAACTATACGGTCCTAATGCCAATCTAGCAGTTCTCATTTGACCACGTAAACATTTCATGGATAATTCACAAAAATAAGTTTCTTACTATAAGACGGTATCTCAGATATGATAGGAAATTATATTATGTGTACTATATTGTAAGGTGAACATCTGTCTGGCAGGTATTATATAAACACCTGTCATTTATCAATAATCCAACATAACATGAGGTCCTCTGATGTTCAGTACTTCAGTACTTTGATTAAATATCATGGTTCTGTAATATTATCCTCTGTTAAGGATCTTTTCTTTATCATTCATGAATCTTTTTCAGATATAAATGAATGTCAAGACAAAGTCTGTAGTCAGCATTGTATAAACACACCAGGATCATATAATTGTTCCTGTGATGAAGGGTACAACCTTCTAGATGACAGGCAGTGTATAGCTAATGGTTTGTATGGTATGGGAGTATTACAGGTGTACATATCTTATAGTATGGTCAAAAAAGTTTAAAACGAATAATTTGTGATATACACGTACTAGACTAGAAAAGATAGTATAGTATAGTTTCACTGATTACTTGTAATGTAGGTCACTTTGATTGATTGTTAGTTGCTTAATGTCCAGTCACAAATATTTCATGTACATGTCCTACTTTTCTAGCTCATTTACTCTGATTTGAATTTACATCAGAATAAAAAGAAAGGAAATGTGGTATGATTGTTGATGAAACAACTATCCAAATGAAGTGGATTTAACCAATTATAGGTCACTGTACATCCTTCAACACTGAGCAAATCCTGTACTATATAGTCAGCTATGGAAGGCCTCAACATGACCAAATGTGAAACAATTCAAATAAAAAACCAACGGCCTGATGACAAAACAATAATGATTTTAAATTACTATTTGTGTTTATATCCCAATTCATGTGTAATGAAGCAGTAAAATCATGCTATTCACAGTTACAAATGAGAAATTACTTTAGGTATAGAACCACTAATTCAGGCCCGGTCGGAAAGAACATACAAGAAAGTAGTACATATTTTAAACAAAATAGTTCCTACGCATAGCTGTATCTTTGTCAATAGTTGGAATATTTGGGTTGTTTTAGTATCAAATGAAAGCTTGGGGACTTGGGATCACTGTAGAGCCCTTGTTGAAAGTTTTATTTGAATAATAAAGAAGTATAAGAAATTTTAATAAGAGGGCTCATTTGGCCTGTTGTTCAGATCAGAAGTTCCTGTTTTTGTACTATCAAACTTCCGGGAACCAGAACGCTCTAATATGCAATTAAAGGTATGTTGATTTTTTCAGCACAAGCCAGGATAAGGTACAGGTTTGACATGAAATAACTGCCACATTTTTTGAACTTAAGATAAAGTAGCCATTAATGCTTGAAATTGCAGAATTTAACATAGAAAGCAATGGGGCTATGAATTAGTGGTTTTATACCTTTAATGACCCATTGAGAAATACAAATCAAATATATTGTTCTGTACAAATTTGAGAAGGAAAACCGCTTTCTGTACGATGTTGGATTTTGTAAAACTTTGAATAGTTTTTATACGCCCGTTTACGGGACGTATTATGGAATACTGTTGTCCGTCCGTCTGTCTGCCCGTCATCAACATGTCTGACAATAACTCAAAAACACTTTAACCAATTTGCATGAAACTTTGGTGAGTTGTTTATATCTATTGACCTGAGCTCCTTTTTAATTTTTATAAATTTTAGATTTTACGTTTCCCAGTTATGGGGTTTTATTCTTTAAAAAAGGGTGATTTTCCAGTTTTCGGACAATAACTGAAAAACACTTTCACCAATTTGTAAGAAACTTTGGTGAATTGTTTATATCTATTGATTTGAGCTCCCGTTCGATGTTTATGAATTTTAGATTTTATGTTTCCAAGGTATGGGGTTTTATTCATTAAAAAAGGGGATTTTCCAGTTTTCAGACAATAACTCAAATTAAATGCTATGAGCAGTTTTCATAAAACTTTAATAATGAATTGTTAATATCTATTGACATGAGCTCCCTTTTGATTTTTATAAATTTTAGATTTTACTTTTCCGATTTATGGGATTTTATTTATAAAAAAGGGGTGATTTTCCAGTTTTCGGACAATAACTCAAAAGTGCTTTGAGCAGTTTTCATGAAACTTTGGTGACTGGTTTATATCTATTAAAATGACCGCCCATTAGTTTTTGTCGAGCCTGCGACATTTTGTCGCAGAAAGCTCGACATAGGGATAGTGATCCGGCGGCGGCGGCGGCGTGGCGTTAGCTCACTTCTTAAAAGCTTTATATTTTAGAAGGTGGAAGGTCTGGATGCTTCATACTTTGTATATGGATGCCTCATGTTACGAAGTTTCCGTCAGTCACATGTCCAATGTCCTTGACCTCATTTTCATGGTTCAGTGACTACTTGAAAAAAAAGTTCAGATTTTTTGTCATGTTAGATTCTCTCTTATTATAAGTAATAGGATAACTATATTTGGTATGTGCGTACCTTGCAAGGTCCTCATGCCCGTCAGACAGTTTTCACTTGACCTCAACCTCATTTCATGGATCAGTGAACAAGGTTAAGTTTTGGTGGTCAAGTCCATATCTCAGATACTATAAGCAATAGGTCTTGTATATTCGGTGTATGGAAGGACTGTAAGGTGTACATGTCCAACTGGCAGGTGTCATCTGACCTTGACCTCATTTTCATGGTTCAGTGGTCATAGTTAAGTTTTTGTGTTTTGGTCTGTTTTTCTTATACTGTATGCCATAGGTCTACTTTATTTGGTGTATGGAATGATTGTAAGGTGTACATGTCTAGCGGGCAGGTGTCATCTGACCTTGACCTCATTTTCATGGTTCAGTGGTCAAAGTTAAGTTTTTGAGTTTTGTTCTTTTTTTCTAATACTATATGCAATAGTTCAACTATATTTGGTATGTGCGTACCTTGCAAGGTCCTCATGCCCGTCAGACAGTTTTCACTTGACCTCGACCTCATTTTATGGATCAGTGAACAAGGTTAAATTTTGGTGGTCAAGTCCATATCTCAGATACTATAAGCAATAGGTCTTGTATATTCGGTGTATGGAAGGACTGTAAGGTGTACATGTCCAACTGGCAGGTGTCATCTGACCTTGACCTCATTTTCATGGTTCAGTGGTTATAGTTAAGTTTTTGTGTTTTGGTCTGTTTTTCTTATACTGTATGCCATAGGTCTACTTTATTTGGTGTATGGAATGATTGTAAGGTGTACATGTCTAGCGGGCAGGTGTCATCTGACCTTGACCTCATTTTCATGGTTCAGTGGTCAAAGTTAAGTTTTTGAGTTTTGGTCTTTTTTTCTAATACTATATGCAATAGTTCAACTATATTTGGTATGTGCGTACCTTGCAAGGTCCTCATGCCCGTCAGACAGTTTTCACTTGACCTCAACCTCATTTTATGGATCAGTGAACAAGGTTAAGTTTTGGTGGTCAAGTCCATATCTCAGATACTATAAGCAATAGGTCTTGTATATTCGGTGTATGGAAGGACTGTAAGGTGTACATGTCCAACTGGCAGGTGTCATCTGACCTTGACCTCATTTTCATGGTTCAGTGGTTATAGTTAAGTTTTTGTGTTTTGGTCTGTTTTTCTTATACTGTATGCCATAGGTTTACTATATTTGGTGTATGGATGATTGTAAGGTGTACATGTCTAGCGGGCAGGTGTCATCTGACCATGACCTCATTTTCATGGTTCAGTGGTCAAAGTTAAGTTTTTTGAGTTTTGTTCTTTTTTTCTAATACTATATGCAATAGTTCAACTATATTTGGTGTATGGAAATATTTTATGATCTATTTGGCAGTCACGCAGGTTTTATTTGATCTTGACCTCATTTTCAAGGTTCATTGCTCAGTGTTAAGTTTTTGTGTTTTGGTCTGTTTTTCTTAAACTATAAGCAATAGGTCAACTATATTTGTTGTATGGAAGAATTGTTAGCTGTACATGCCTGCCTAGCATGGTTCATCTGACCTTGACCTCATTTTCATGGTTCATTGGTCAATGTTTAGTTTACTTGGTTAATGTTTAGTTTATGTGACAGTTGTAATAAAGCTTTATATTTAGGACTATCAACATAATATCAATGATTAGTAAAGAAGGCGAGACATTTCAGCGTGTGCACTCTTGTTTTTATAAATTTCTGATATGACATTGAGTAGTAATGAAACTTTATTCTTTGAAAAAGCAACGGGTGTATCATGCGCTCATGGCGCAGGTTTGAGAAGTAAAACAACACCAAAATTTGGATAACAATCTAAAGAGATACTTGATGTGTTTAATGAATGAATTTGTACTTGCCATTACCAGCAAGACAGGTGATACATGTAAAGTAGAATCTGTTGTTTGTCTCTTGTCCTTTTTTGCTATTGTATTGTCTGTTTTTCTTAGACTTACGATGTTTCATTGTCCATTGGTGAACTGTTTTCTGACCTTTTTTTAATAATTATCTATTAATTTCAGGTTCTGATCCAGTATTATATATAGCAGCATACAACAGAATTGTATCATACAACATCAGGTCTTCTAACAAAGAACTGGTCACAGTTGTAGATAACCTCAGTCATGTTCAGAATATAGGTAAAATTTTCGTCTTTTAATCAGTTTTATACCATCATGGTTCTAAGTATACTATAATTCTATTTTGATGATAAATGATGGTATGATTGTATTTGTCTAGTAACAGTTATAAGAAATTCAGTTTCTTAAATTAAGATTGCACTAAGTGCAATGAAAACCTATTGTCACTGGCTTGACAGCTATATTTAGCTATCTCCCAGGCCTCATCTCTACCTTTACTTTGTGCAGTGAGGTGAACATTCTTTAGATCCTATCCATGTCAAGCAATTTATAAATAATGTATACTGGCTATAAGTAAGATAACTTTAATTCAAAATATTGCTCAAATTTGATCCATTGCTTATTATAATGCAGTTCACAATGAAAATGAAGGCAATCTTTACTCCCTAAGTGCTCACAAGCATTTTTAATTCTTGAATATTATTAAACAGGAAATACCCATATATCATCTGAAGGGTAAGCTAGAGTCAGGTGTTACACCATAGACTTGGACTTTGTATCCTTTTTTTAGCAATAGAAAGATGGTTACGGGTGTGGCAATTTTTGAGGGTATTTTTATGTGTTAAGAGAACACATTTCTGTCACTTATGAATTAAGCCACTAAATGATAAAAAATTTTACTGAACCTGGACATTTTATGTATATTTTGCTATTGAGTCTCAAAATATACAGTAAATTCCAAAATTATTGTGATTTTTTTATAAATGGAAAAAAATTTGACAGTATCAGAGTCGCACTAATAAAAATTTGCATTCAGAATTTCAGTAGTGATTTTTCTTTATTAAACTTTTGCAATCACATTAATTAGATTTCACATTTTTACCAGAGTTCAAGGATTCTCATTATTTTCTGAATTTACAGTATACTTGGACTGCCCTGCTTCAATCTTTGTGTTTCTTTACAGCTGCAGACGGCAGACATTTATATTGGACAGACCAGAAAGACAAGGCAGTATATAAATATGACATTGACGATGGTCACCTGTGGAAAGTGGTTGATACAGGTATCTCCACATAATTTCATGGAACTTTTGCTATCTGAAATTGAAAATATGATAAGTTTTAAAATCAGAATGCCAATTTTTGAATTATTATTAGGTAAAAGCAATGTTTAGATATCTGGAATGTGCCTATCCTAAAAATATTTATGTAAAATTATATTTTGATCTGTTTTGAAAGAATATTTAAATAGTTAAGTTAATAGACAACTTTCAAATTTGTGCACTTTCCCATAGATTTCATATGTCACAATGCTAATATTATTACGTCACAGTAAGATCCAATTGTTCAATGATGTCGTTTACACCTACTGACTCTCTGTCAACCGGTTAGTAATTAACTCATTCATAAAAAACAACTTGAGATTGGTGTATTGAGTCATCTTACCTGAAATAAAAGAGTTTTATTCTACTTAAATAGAGAGGAAACTATAACTTAACAAGAACTCGTTCTACTTTACCTATATGGTAGGTAACTTTCTTGGTTTAATTTGGCATCAAAACAACAGTGTCTGATGTGAACACATTTGTCTTTAATTACTTTACATAATTTAGGTGTTGACTCTCCTAGAGGTATTGCAGTAGATGCAGTGACAAATCACCTGTATATTGTGGACAGTTTTAAAAATAGAATAATTGTGTGTGATAGCTATGGTGAAGTATGTACAGTGATACAGAAAGATTTGCACACACCAGAGGACATAATCATTGTAAATAAACACAGGTTAATAAATTTCAATCTTATATAAATATTGAAACTGCAGTGTTGTCATCATGGGTAGAAACACTAAATGTGTGGTTCAAAATAAATCCTGAAACAAATTTACTTCAAATAATGGTTTGTCTTCAATAAGCTTGAATGTTTTCCCCTGGATGATAAGTATTCAAGAATAATTTGCTTTTATATTTTTTTACTAGGCATTAAGGATTCAACAACCAATCAAATATTTATAAAATTTATGTTTGCACTTTGAAATTCAAAAGAAACTTTCTTATCAAAGTGTGCTCATTGAGTTCTGTCCCCCCTGCGACGAAAGTAACAGTATGGGAGACATAGGTATTACTATCCGGCGGCGGCGTAAACTATTTGTATAAAGCTTTATATTTCAGAAGGTAGAAGACCTGGATGCTTCATACCGTGTATGCAGATACCTTATGTTACGAAATTTCTGTCTGTCATATGCACATTTTATTTGATCTCATTTTCATGGTTCAGTGACTGCTTGATAAAAAATTACAGGTTTTTTCTCATGTGAATTTCTCACTTATTAAGAGTAAAAGGATAACTATATTTGGTATATGGGTTCCTTGCAACGTCTACATGTCTGTCACACAGGGTTAACCTGATCTCGACCTCAATTCATGGATCAGTGATCAAGGTTAAAGTTACGTGATTAGGTCTGCTTCTCAGATACTACAAGCAGCAGGTCAACTATATGTGGTGTATGGAATGATTGTAAGGGGTACATGTCAGACTGACAGGTTTCATGTGACCTTGACCTCATATTCATGGTTCATTGGTGATTGTTAATTTTTTTGTGTTTTGGTTTGTTTTTATGCGATCGCAAAAAATTTTGCGGTCGTATAATGGTATCACGTTGTCGTCGTCTGCGTCGTCCCAAGATATTTGGTTTCCGGACAATAACTTTAGTATAGGTAAATAGAAATCTATGAAATTTAAACACAAGGTTTATTACCACAAAAGGAAGGTTGGGATTGATTTTGGAGGTTATGGTCCTAACAATTTAGGAATTAGAGGCCAAAAAGGGACCCAAATAAGCATTTTTCTAGTTTCCAGACAATAACTTGTGGAAAGGTGTATGGATCTCTCTGAAATTAGACCACAAGTTTCCATACCACAAAGGGATGGTTAGGATTGGCTTTGGGGGGTTATGGCTCAAACCGTTTATGAATAAGGGGCAAAAAAGGGGGAAAAACAAGGGTTTCCTGGTTAATGGACAATTTCTTAAAAGTACACTGTTATGTTTGGATTACCTAGCTTACACTGCTTTTAAAATTATGCATAAAAAAATGTTGTATTGTCTTGAGGTGATTAGCTGTCAATTTATTTTTAGAAGTTACTATTAAAAATGCTGATTAAGGAATATTAATTTTAGCCATGATTATGTATGTCATTTTCTATTTTAAGACTTTTATGATGTATTTAAATGGGTAATTATGATTGCAAACTCCATTGGAAATTTGAATTGAGATTTTGACCATATCTTGGGGGAAAAGATTTTTTTTTTGATAAAGGGGGGGGGGGGGGAGGAGGTGAAAAAAAATTGTGGGGGGGACAATTTTTTCTCATTTCAGATTTCAGAAATTTTTTTTGGGGGGGGTCAATTCGCAACAGCATAGTGTATTGCACAAAGGCAAAAAATTGAATATAAATTCAAATCATATGACCAATTCTAAGTTCTTTGACTACAGTTATTCTGTGTCAGAAACCTATTATGTGTCAATATTTAATTACAATCCAAATTCAGACCTGTATCAAGCACGAATATTGTGTCCATTTTCGCCCTCTAGCTGCGCTCGACGAAGCAATTTATTTAAGTACTGTAAGCAATAGGTCAACTATATTTGGTGTATGGAATAATTGTAAGGTGTACATGTCTGTCTAGCTGGTGTCATCTGACCTTGACCTCATTTAAATGATTCATTGGTCAGTGTTGAGTTTTTGTGTTTTGGTCTGTTTTTCAAGTACTATAAGCAAAAGGTCAACTGTATTTGGTGTATGGAAGGATTGTAAGTTGTACATGTCTGTCTAGTGGATTTCATCTGACCTTGACCTCATTTTCATGGTTCATTGGTCAATGTTAAGTTTTTGTGTTTTGGTCTGTTTTTCAAATACTAATAGTAATAGGTCAAATATAATTGGTGTATGGAATGATTGTAAGGTGTACATGTCTGTCTAGCCAGTATCATCTGACCTTGACCTCATTTCCATGGTTTATTGGTCAACATTAAGTTTTTGTGTTTTGGTCTGTTATTCAATGACCATGAGCAATAAACTATATTTGGTGTATGGAATAATTGTAAGGTGTACATGTCTGTGTGACAGTTTTTATCTGACCTTGACCTAATTGTCATGGATCTTTAAAAATGTTAAGTTTATGTGATACTTGTAGTAAAACCTTTATCTTTAAGACTTTCAACATAAAATCAATGGTCAGTAAAACAGGCAAGACATTTCAGCGTGTGCACTCTTGTTGTAAAATTACTGTCAATTCAGAATTATTGAGTTCATTTATTATTGCGATTTTTGAAGAATGGACAAAAATGTGAGATTAATTATTGAGATTTCCAGAAAATTTTCATACAGATATATGCATCAGGTACAAAAATGCAAATTTTTATTATTGCGATACTCATTTGCAATATTCGCATTAATTAAAACTTCGCAATAATTCTGAATTCACAGTATTCCATAATAGCTTCTTTTAATATTTCTTTAAAATAGTTTCTAAGAATGATTGTCTATTATTTATACTAATATTTCATGTGTATCAAATCAAGCAGATATATTTATTGATTTCAGAATTCTTATTTGGTCAGAGGTTGGTAAGAATCCTGGCATAATGAAATCCCAAATGGATGGCAAAATGAAGAACATACTAATAAATAATGATATTCAGCACCTAAGCAGTCTTGCTGTAGATGCACCTACAGATAGGTTGTATTGGTTAGACTCTGTATTAGATAGGATAGAAAGTATCCAGCTGGATGGTTCAGACAGACAGGTACTAGAATAAGAATCTGATTTTATATACTAGATAATGTAATTTTGTTGTTTAGTTCTACATATATTTAAGGTCAAATGCACCTTTTTTACCTGCATTTTATGCTGTTCCATGAATAAACTTGAGATTATTGATTAACCTTAATTGTTCCTCTTAACATAGGTGTGCAAATGTGATTTGATTAGTTTCACGTATACCATTGAAATCCACAAAAATTAATACAGCGAACCCCACAAATAATAATGAATCAACAATACTGGAAAAGCAGAAATTTTGTGATGTTTTTATTATTCTGAAAACTGCAATGGGAAAGGTTTGGCAAAAATAATAACTTGAATTTAAGTTTGATAGCATTGTTTGTGTGCTGCAGTTCTTGTAATCACAATAATTAATCTAACATTTTTTACCATTATTCAAAAAATAATTCTGAGATGACAGTATTTGAATGTTTTATTTGCAGATTGTACTCTCCAGGAAAGTTGTAAATCCCTTTGGACTGTTTGTTTTTGAGGATGCCATGTATTGGGCTGACCAAGACCATGCATCTGTGATGTCTGCTAATAAGTTCAATGGCAGACAGTTGTTACCATTGGCAACAGGAATAAATCATGTGACTAGTCTTGTTATAGACCATCCAGTTTTGTATCCTTCTGGACATGGTTCATTGCAACAAGGCAAGTTCTGTTGTCTTTCTATGGAAACTGATAATGATGTTTTACAAATTCAATTTATTTTCTAGTCCTATAACAAAGTTCTCTAAAAGAGGTTTTGACCACCAAAATTTTGTATAGGACCAACACAGTTTTGGTATTTTGTAAAAGAAATGAAAGTGAGGACCAGCAGATTTTCTTGAACGACCATCGGGGAAAAAAAGATTTTGAGAACTCGACTACAAAAATGTATTAACAAAAGACCAAGTTTAATATCAATCATCCATTCGTTTGTTCAGTTGTTCAATTGTTTGTTCATTTGTTTGTTTACTGCATTTAAAAAATATATATGGTATCAATATTTTAAAAAGAATTGATCCAACTGATGAAAGAAAACTTATAAGCTTTTCTTGACAAAAGGACCATTGTTAAGTTTTGTTACAATTTGACATCTACCATCCATCAATCTTTTAGGTCATCTGGCCTAAAGGGCTTGTTGTTTATTATCCTTTTTTGTCCATCATGTCTTTTACATTCATTGATAGTTTTTAGAATTGCCAAACACCTGAAACCATAGTCCAGTTTTTGACTAACCAAATTAAAACATATGGTACAAACAAGTCTTGATAAGATATCCTTACTAGATTGTATTGATGAGTTATACAGAAAACAAATTTTTGTTAAGTCTTGACTTCAGGATAATTTTATGAAGGAAGTCTTGTGTGTTGACCACCAACATGGCACCAAACGGAAAACTCAAATTATGTTAATTTAAAACTATCTATTGTACCATTTCAGTGTTCTCCCCAGATATCTCATATAGCATCCTGGTAAACAGGGAAATTTGAAATACCATCTTGTTTCTAAAAATTATAGCATCACATCCATAACACAACCTATGAGAAAACCACTTCAGATAGCATCACATTCAAGAAATATAGCATCACATTACCATGATGCTAAAAGGCCCTGGGGTGAACACTGCATTTCAGACAATTTCTTATTTTACTAGCATGATATTGTTTGATTTCAGACAATGCATGTTTGCTGTCTCCATGTTCAGACATTTGTCTCCCCTCTCAAACAGGGCATACCTGTGGATGTCCAGTAAACAAGGTTTTAGATGTCAACAAAAAAACATGTATTGGTAAGATTTATATTGTAGTGCAAAGTTAGAAAAATGTATTTTAAGGAATAGGCTTTATTGTTATTTCAGTAAAACTTGCAGACATTTTTTAAGGGATGAATAGTGAAACATGAACAAAATAGGGTATGCATCTTGTATCCAAAAGAAGGTTAGGTTACTTATTTCTTTTTTTTTTCAGATCATATTGTTGATTGCCTTATGATTTACACAAATGTCTTCCACTAGTTAAAAATTAGTTTTTTATTTATGAATTTTGATGAGTATATGCATGTGGGCTGACAAGGTCAAGATCAATATAATTTTCACTTTGCCATTCAGATGTAATCGTCCTTGATTGGTTGATAAATTGTCATGTGATGTTTCAATGCACTGACAAAATGGAGTTCGAGTTTGATTTTACAATTTCGACTAATACTGTTCAGGAGTTATGGCCCTTGATTGCTTTAACTTAGGCACTAATAAATGTACGGAAAACCTTTTTGCTGGCATTTTGACCACCTTTTGTATTACCAATGAAACGTTTGTATCTTTCATTATTTGCAGATAATGTAGAATGTCCTAGGATACTAATAGGAGAAAACAGAGCTATATTGGACTATCCACTATGTGGGATAGGGAAACAGGAATATCTCATAACTCATATCATCACTGAGGAAATGAAAAAGGTTTCTGTCATAGCACAATCAGGGTCTGAGCTACTGTATAGAGATGTTAGTCGAGGGGTGATTGCACACATCAAGTTAAACGATTCAAAGCCAAGGTAAGCACGTGTTGTCTTATTAATTCAGTTCAGATATGTTATGCTTTTGAAGATAAATTGACTTGTGACTTACTGATTATTTTAGAGGAGGATTATGATAGAGAGTACATTCAGTATGATTTAAACATGAAAAACAGAATTATGGGTAACATGATAGAAGTTCATGTTGCGATTGCGCTATATAATCTCACTTCATTGATGCATCAAAATTAATTCCGTGTTTGTAACCTTTAAGTTGTAAAAAAAATGCTAAATTTAGCATATGACTTTGTTACTGTAAAGAAATTGAGTTAATGCTCCTGAAAACCAAAAAATTAAAACCTATGTAGTGTAAAAAACAAAGTGCAGGCAAACTTGGTAATTAAACATAAATAATGGATAAAAACCTTAAAATCAGTCTACATGACAACAATTTTTTCTCAATCCAAGCAAATTGGTACTGACATGAGAAGGAATCCACAGTATCAGAGTAACATTATAAGTAAAAAAAAAAATTCACATCCAGGCATTTTTGATTGTTGATTGTTAATTTTAGTGTAGTTTGCATTGCACAATTTTTTATGCCCTTGCCATAAGCGACAATGCATTAAGTGTTACCCTTGACCGTCTGTTTTTCTGTCCTTCCTTCTTTCCCTCCGTCCGTCTGTCCCATTTTTGTTTGTTTAATGCTTGAGCGGGGGAATTCGTGTCCTCAAACACATTTTTCTTTTATTTTAATGACTTATGAATTTTATTTTAAGGGAGAAAATCCTATTCAAGAACTTGCATACTGTGTCTGATGTATGTGTTGACTGGAACAGTCGTATCCTGTATTGGACAGATCCTGTTCAGGTTAGTCATTAAGTTTATTCCATGTCATATAATGTTTGATATATGTGTTGATTGGAACAGTCGTATCCTGTATTGGTCAGATCCTGTTCAGGTTAGTCATTGAGTTTATTCCATGTCAGATTGGTTTTGATTAACTATGAAGCATTTTACTACACTCATTATAATACTGGTTGAGGAATACAATAGATAGATAGTTGCAGTGCTGGGACATCAAAATACAGAGCATCTGTCCGATCTTGTAAGTGTTCTCATACGTACAATTTTTGCCAGATTTTTATGAAAAAAAAAAATAAAAGGTTTATATCATCAATATCTTGGATGAAATCTGTGCTTAGTAACTATTTTTGTAGGAATTATACCCCTTTGAAATATGAGTATATGGAAATTTGCATTGTCAGTGCTCTCAAGCCTACATTTCTTTTTGAATTTTTATCAAATTTTTGCCAAAGGTTTAAATCAACAATGTCTGGGACAAGTTAAAAAATCAGTGAGGGTCAACCATTTAAACAGGAATTATGTCCCTTTGCTATGTAAGTGTAAAGTTGCTTTGTAAAAACTGTCACGTCTACATTTCTTGATTTTTATGAAATTTATATCAAATTTTATAACAGCAAGGTTTTGGACATTTCCAATTATCAGCACAGATCAACTTTTTTACAAGAGTTATGTCCCTTTGAAATATGAACAATTGCATTGTAGGCTGCTCATCATTTAATGTAGCATATTTATGGAAAAGTTTAAAAGAACAAAAAAAAATATATATGAGTTATTGCCCTTGGACAGATCAAATGGATGCATTGGCAGGAAACACTTAAACAGTGTTCTTTTATTCAGTATTGTATTTGGAATGTTTCTTTTCAGGGTGTGGTACAAGCTGGTAAATTCAATGATGGATTAATCACTACTATTTTAAGAACAGAGAAACAGCAACCAAATTCCATTACATTTGATCCAGTAGGGGGGTAAGAATAAGTGGCAGATTTAATGTGTAAGCAATGGTCAGAGAATGGAACTCTTACTTTCTTTGGTTAGTTGCAATAAATCCGCCAATTATATCTGCTTACATAAGGTTTGCCCTTCATTTTTCCCCAGGAGTAACCCCAAAAGTAAACATATATATACACATGAATGTTGTTCATTTTTACACAAATATCTTTCATCTTTTATGTATATTAAAACTTTCGAAAGGCTCTACAATATACAGTAAGATCCATACAAAGATGGTTTGCATGGCTTTATAAACATAATCAAAAGTTCAAAGACACTAATGAATATATATAAAATGAGATGTTAGTTGGGGTATACCTCAATGAAACAATAACCAATCCAGTTACAAAAGAGCTAAGTAATGCCTAGAAGTCAACATATAGTACTGCAACTGACCTCGAAAAAGACGCTTAGTTAACGAGTTTAATGTACCGGAATAACACACAGCTGAAAATTGTTTTAAATGATAGAATTATATCTATATTTTAATTTCTGTCTGGTCGTAAAAAGTTTCTTTGGTCACATTTTTGTATTTTAGCCCTTTAATGGGGCACCACTCAATTTACGGTTTTGGGTAGTCACCTTAAAATCCAAAAACAAAATTATTTTGTTGAATTCCGGCTCTTTTCGTAAATATTTTCAATGCACATATTATCAAGGATCATCGGAATGATAGAGACATAAATATAATACCATCCCCAAGTAAAACTTTCAAACTTAAAGTTTGCATTTTTTTAGATGGAAATTTAACGCATTTTTCTTTGAAAACGAGAAAACATATGATTCAAAAACAGTATTTGACATTTGAGAGGACAAAATATATTATTGCGATACTGCATGCAAATTTTGTTGGGCAAATTCCAATTAATTTTGTCAAAAACGCAAAAATAAAAACATCATTTATACCTTTTTGTCGAGCCTTCGACTTTTGTCGAAAAAGCGAGACATAGCGATCCTACATTCCGTCGGCGTCTTTGGCGGCGTCCACAAATATTCACTCTGTGGTTAAAGTTTTTGAAATTTTAATAACTTTCTTAAACTATCCTGGATTTCTACCAAACTTGGACAGAAGCTTGTTTATGATCATAAGATTATATTCAAAAGTAAATTTTGTAAAAAAAAAATTCCATTTTTTCCGTATTTTACTTATAAGTGGACTTAGTTTTTCTGCCAGTTAACATTACATTCACTCTGTGGTTAAAGTTTTTAAAATTTCAATAACTTTCTTAAACTATCCTAGATTTCTACCAAACTTGGAAAGAAGCTTGTTTATGATCATAAGATAGTATCCAGAAGTAAATTTTGTAAAAAATAAATTCCATTTTTCCGTATTTTACTTATAAATGGACTTAGTTTTTCTGCCAGGAAACATTACATTCACTCTGTGGTTAAAGTTTTTAAAATTTTAACAACTTTCTTAAACTATCCTGGATTTGTACCACACTTGGACAGAAGCTTGTTTATGATCAAAAGCTAGTATCTAGAAGGAAATTTTGATAAAATTTTGTTCCATTTTTTCTGTATTTTACTTATAAATGGACTTAGTTTTTCTTCCAGTCAACATTACATACATTCTGCAGTTTAAGTTTTTAAAACATTTATTAGATTCATAAATTATCCTGGATTTTTACCAAACTTGGACAGAAGCTACTTACAATCAAAACATAGTATAGAGGGGAATATTTTTATTAATTTTTTTCCTCATTTTTGTTGAGCCTGCGATTAACACCAAAAGTAGGCGAGACACTGGGTTCCGCGGAACCCTTACGAATTTTTTTATTACGGAAATTTCATATCCGTCAAACAGCTCCATCATTTATTTTTTTCTTCACAATGAATTTGATAGTTTCGATGTGATTATGTACATTTTCTTGGATAAGTTAATTAATTTGGAGTTTTTGAAGTGTGATTTGATTATATATATAGTAGTTCTTTCGTGTATTTTCATTAAATAAGTCATATTTTTCTTAATAGAATTTTGACTTTTTATAAAAGTTAACCAAATCCTTCAGATAAGATGCTTTTCCGGATAATGACTAGTCGTGGAAGTCCTAAAGAGTTTACTCATACAAGTCCCAAAAGGAGAAGGCTTGATAGTGTGTGGAAAAAATACATTGGATGTCAATGTTCAACCTCAGAGCAACTAATATGCATGCAAGCGGTCTGGAAAAAAAAAGTACTATTGAAGTTTCGCAGAGCTTTGGTGTGTGACAAGGTGATGTTACAACTAACTTCTCTTGATCGTCTGCTTTCTTTGGACGAAAGAGTTGTGAATCATTAGTGATGTTATAAGACTTACACCAGAAGGCAAAATGGTAGCGTCGTCAAATTATAACAACAGAAAGCCAAATATGTGATCAATCTGATCCACATGTATCCTCACAACCTGACACTTTTATACGATCTCGCGCTCAGTTTCCTCCTTGTAGTTTGGATATGAAAACATGTTTTTTTTGTGCAAAAGCTAAACTTTTAAAAAGGACAGAAAACAACACAAAATTGAGTAGCCTGAACGTGTTGACAGTCTTTTCAGGTGTGCTAATGTGAGTTATCATTTATGCATGGTAAAGATAATCGCGAGTACAGATTTATTTTCAAATGCAGTCTACCTTTCAGCATGCATTACCAAGTACTTATTGAAGTCAACACCTGTGCGATCAGGTATAACAGTTACTGAAGAATTAGAATATGAACTTGCTTTCAATTCATTGATAACGATTGTTAATGATGATACATGTATTATGTTCATCCAGGAAAAGGCCTTTCTCATGTAGCACATCCTCGACATATACCGATTACTTTTAACCAAGAATGTCTCTGATGCTTACCCAACTGCCAAATTCAAGAACAAACTACTAAGTAACTAGTTATTATGACACCTTACAATTCAAACACAGCGGGGACAAGGGATTTCAAATATATAGTTTAGCTCTGAGCTCACTATAGGGGATGCCATATCTGCTGCCGAAAAAATGAAGTTTATGTTAAGACTTCCAGAATTACTCCAAGGTGTGTCTGAAGATATCAAGGATACATTAAAAGAGGATCAATTACTTCACTCTGCCGCTAGCGCTCTTAGGAGCTCTGTCCTAGTCGGGTCTTTCCATGGAAAAGATGCCCGCATGTATAGCTATTACAAAATCAATCGTTTTTGTAGCAAAATCAACATTCGCCTCGTTACATTTGGGATTGGTCGTGCAGTTATATAATGAATATGGGAATATGGGTCACGAACATTGATAGAAACTTTGTCCTCGCATGGCTTTTGTGTTTCCTATGCAGAGGTAAGACTATATCTGATAAGTATTGCCATGCATGAGTTTGACCGAATCAAGACGGTATTTACGCTCTAAATGGCATTGTTTCAAAACACCAAGGGGAGTGTTTGATACAAAAAGGTGCCGACAATATAGGCCTCAACAGGGAGACAATTGATAGTAAGGAACGTTTCATTCCATAGCACGAGCAGACTTTCAGGTTTGTCATTCCACAATTGATTCCAGTTTGCGTCAGATGAAAGTGAAGAGAGGTCAAGATAACACTTTTCAACTGACTGACAGTGCATCATCGTTGGCGACTGTTTCATTATACCAAAGGTAAGAGAGGTCCTGTTCGCGTTCCGAATGCTTTCAAAAACATTTCAAATTGTGCTAAAAAAATTGAAAACACATCAGAGATTCCTTTGGAAATTTTGTGGTCCATGTCAAAATATATCGGAAATTTTCATGTTTAGTCGGAAACGTTTGACCATCAAGTTATTCCATTTTAGACCGGATATAGCAACTCTTTCTGACTTCAGGGTTAGATTTTTGGCCTGGAAGACAAAAAAGGATAAACCCCAACATTTTTCAAGGGACACATAACATCAGATTACTTACAAGATTATCTTTGTACTTGCAAAGGTAAATCTTTGTGCTCAAAACCTGTGTTTGCTTTGAACAAACTCTGTCCTGCACCGAACTTGTTTGTGTCAAGAAAGGGAAGTATGTTGTAATGTTAATACGCGTACTGAATCATCCGCATACTATGACGAAGATTGATTCATATCCCTATTTAATGAAGACTAGAGCTATTGCATGCAGCTTTAAAAAGACAAGTTATATAAGGGTCTTGACCGATTTTAAATTACAACATTACCAAATTGGCATTACATTATATTTTTCATTACTTCCATAAAAAATTGATGAGTCTACACTTTTTTACCAGGATAATCCCACTAAGATGTTCATGCACCAAACTGACTTTGTTTTACACTGAACCAACCGCTAAATTAATGCAAGTCACACTTATGATTTTTTTTAAACCTCACATTCGCCTCGGTTGACTATGATATTTTTGGTGTTATAACTGATAAGTGCGGACTCTGCAAATACACAATAGTTATTTATGTATAAATAGATACTAATTTTCCCAAATGTACACAACCTTTTAGATGCAAAATTAAAAAAACTGTTTCAGCGCTTGAATTTTGTTTTTTTCAAAGATAGAAAAAATATTGAAATAATTTGATAAACTGTTGTTTTATAGTTCAGAAAATAATTCTGTAATATACTGTTGTGAAAAAATTATACGCAATATGAAAGTTAATGGATGTGAAATGGTCAAGGCCACTTCTACTTTTGCTATGTCAGAAATGGAAAAAAATCAGAAGAATCCAGATCAACGCCATTTTGTAATGACAGCTCTTCAAATAAATAGTCAAATTTGTCGTTTTAACATATTTCGCAGCATATGCTTATGATTGAACCGTTTTTGTAGAATTCAAATGAATAAATATAAGAAAATTTCTCATTTTTGTCCTTGTGGTTGAAATATTGATATTTTTAGGCCTGACCTTTGACCCAAATTTCACAAAAATGTGACCACTCTGGATTTTTACGACCAAACTTTTCTTATTGTACACGTTTTCCTCTTTCCATCGATATATAATTTAGGTGTGTGTTCTTCCGGAACATTAAAATTTTAAAAAATGAACTCTGGTTGCAGTACTAATAGTCTTCCACAATAGACAAATAACTAAATGTCAAACTCAATTCCCCCTGACTCCAGCAAAGCTATGAATAAATCTACAACTAACATCAATTAAATTCTACAACATCAAAAACACTAAGATACAACTAAAGACAAGCACCGACAATGTTACTGACTTTGGACAGGTACATAAAGGTGCTGTGTTACAGGTAAAATATGGAGTGCCATGTATGTCACAAACTTATAGAAATATACCGTATATCATTAAAATACTAAAAATAAATACAAAATCCATCTATAATTCAAGAGAATATTTTCTCCATACCTTACAGTTCTAAAAATTTTGAGTATGATTATCTTACTCAGAAATTAACAAATCAACATAATGTATGAATTTGATATTTTGAGCACAAACTTTGTATACCGAGTAATGAGTAAAGTTTTCTAATTGAAAGCCAGAATGAAAAAAACGTAGGACATTGAGTTTTAGGTTTATTTTTTGAAAATTATATTTATCTATTGCAGAAAGATATATTATTCTACATCTGGAAAACATCCACAGATTGTCTCCTGTTATTCAGATGGGGACAATTGTTCTGCAATCAGTGTCAAAGTATCTCTTGTCAATGACATGGTGGTTGACCAAAAGAGAAAACGTTTGTTCTACACAGAGATGGGAGATCACAGTATACATTCTATTAGTATGGAAGGTGATGTCCCTGCTGTAACAATTCACAGGTGCACCTTGGCTCTTCGTCAGTTTTAAGAATATTTATTATAATATTCAACATACAGTCTATGATGCATAAAGAAACAAAATTCATGTTATAGACTAATTATTTGCTGTTCTAAAATTAGCCAAGGAAATTAAAAGTTTAACAAAGTTTTATATTCTAAGAATTCTTGTTAAATTCTTTGTATGCCCCCAGTGCTAGGCAAAGGGGGCATTAAGTCTGTCTGTCTTTCTGTCTGTTTTTCCGTCCATCCCATTTTCGTTTCAGCACTTTAAAAAAGTTTTCATCATCCAAATTTTATGAAACTCATACACAATGCTAAGAACCAAAACTTGCAGTGTTTGAATTTGGGCAGTGAGTAACTTACCATTCTTAGGTTATGCCCCTTTATAACTTGGAAAATTGCAAATTTTTTGGTTTTCGCACTCTAACTTAAGTTTTCCTCATCCAAATTTTATGAAACTTTTACACAATGCTTTTTACCACCAAAAACATATCAAGTTTGAATCTGGGTTGCATGAATTTTAATGTTTTCAAGTCCCTTGACGGAAAAATTGCTAAATTTGCCATATATTTATAAGCGGGGGCATCTGTATCCCATGGACACATTCTTCTTTTATTTTTTTTAAGTAATCAAAAGTTCAGTTATAGCATGGATGCCTTAAGAGTCAGTCAGTATATATGTATATGTTATGTTCTCCCTTAAATTGTAAGGGGGATGTAAAGTCCACATTTTTTCCATCTGTCCACATGATGGTTCGTGAATGATAACTGCAGTATTGTCCTAACTTTTTAAATGTAGCATTTCCAAATAAAATTAGTTTGCTATGTGAGCTATGAAATTAAAGATTTAATGATTCAGGTTTACTTTGAAATAGATTTCTACTATGCATTTTTAAAAACAGTCATGAATAACATGTGCTAAAACACACAAAAATAAATGCCTACTAGTGTTTTAAACTGGTTTTAAGGGTAACCAAGTAGTCTTGAATTTTTTAATTTAACCATACTACACACACTAAAAATCTATGAATAATGTGTTTCTAGTGTTACAACTTTGCTGGTACATCACAACTTTCATACAAATTCCCAGAAATGTACATATAACAATAAGCATTCAGGTGGTTGCATTTGGGACAACACATCAAGTTAATAATATATCTAGTATTTTTTCTGACAGAGGAACACCAGGAGAGAACCCAAAGTTTTTAGCAGTTTATACGGATACTGTGTATTGGATAGACTCCAATAAAAAGGTTGTCATGTCTGTACAAACTGATGGTAGAAGCAGATTAGAAACACAAGTTCTGTCAAAGCTAGCTGTACCAAATGAAATAATACTGATTCCTTCTTCAGTCATTTTGACAAGTAAAATATATATTAAATTTAAATTATTATATTAAAAATGAAATTGAAAAATAGGTTAATTGTTTTTAATTATTGTTCATTTTTCAAACCAGTTTTACATTTTGTAATAATCATGGATAACAAATGTAAAAGATGCTGACTTGCTGTCACTTATGTGAATAATTAGAAGGGGAGGTAATTGTAAGCTATTAATTAGCAAGTGAAGGTTTACTTAAAAAAAAAAAAATGAAATATCTACCCCAAAAGACTATTTTTTCCACTATTACTTCTTTTTGTGAGAAAAAAAAATCCAAGAAAATTAAATTGTTGTTATCTCAATCTGTCATCCTTGAGTCAGGTTTATAATGATAAAAAAATAACTGAAAAATGATAAAAAAATAACTGAAAAATGTTCCCTAACTATTTATGAAAAAAATTTGTTTTGCTGTCACAAATACTAACTGACTGATATTTTTTACAGATTTATGCAGTAAGGAAAATGGTGAGTGTATGCACTTCTGTTTTGCCACTCCTAATGGAAGGTCCTGCAAATGTAAAGATGGCTGGACTTTACACAGTGACAAGATATCATGTAATGGTATGTTTCTTATCAAATTTTTAAGCTAAGGACATCCGCCTGTTGTTAATTTTTTACATTATCATCATGTCCTCTGAATTCTCTGGGCCAAATGCAAAAATGCAAGGAAAATTGGACGGAACTATATATGTAATATACTTTTTTATACCCCACCATAAAAGTAGGGGCTATATTGCGATCCCTTGTGACCGTTTCTTTGTAAAAAAAAACTTTTTTTGTCACTTTTTTCTAAGAAACTGCTTAACAAAATGACTTCATAATTGGTCAGCAGCAGTGTTAGCTCTTCTCAGATCTGTCAGATGCCTTATTCCTGTTTGCTGATATTTTGAATATTTGTCTCGCCTATGACGAAAGTCGCAGTATACGAGACTTAGGTTTAACTATCAGGCGGCTGTGGCAGCGTTACGGTGTAAACTATTTGTATAAAGCTTTATATTTCAGAAGCATGGATTTTTCTAGCATTCCACAGGGTCCGGTATTCGGACCCATTCCCAATGGCAATTACCTTACATTTTTCCCAATTTTGGTAGCAAAATTCCCATACGATCTCAAAATTCGTTTTCATCTTTATATTCATGACAGTGATGTTCATTTTGTTCAACCGCTAGCTTTATGCCGAAAATCGCCAATAAGTAATGTGTAAATCCGAGTAAAATCGTATCTGACTGACAAAAACAACATTGAAAAGCAATGGATGCCATAAACTGGAAATAAAGACAATTACAATACTGGATCAGATTCCGGGGCGGATAAGGGTAATTCCGGGTTTGCCGATCAAATACAATAAAAAAATAATAATTCCAGGCAGGTGACAAAATACATCTATGATGATGAAATATAAACTCATAATTGAAAACCAAAAGATATATGGAAAAGAAAGAAAAAGCAGAAAATAGTTTATATAGAAACTCAAAATTACTTTTAGTTCACAAATTTTCATGTCAAAATCCAATAAAATGTGACAGTAATTTTCTTTATCATTAATAAATGTTGATATTACATGTAGATGTTTTTATAGCCAGTGTAAACATATTACTACAATTCCAACAGGTAATTTCTTCTCACTTTGGAAGTTTCTTACTTTATTTTCACAATAAAAGATAACTTTTAATTAACTAAACGCACTAAAACTCAAATCTGTTATATTTGCTGTTTTCCCAATTTCATTGAAAAGCATGTGAAAAAATTCTCAAAACTGGCCCAGGTCCTTTTTCCCAAAATACCCAGAAAAACCCCTGAGAAGCTAGAAGACCTGGATGATTCATACCTTTTATGCCAACTATATGTGGTGTATGGAATGATTGTGAGGGGTACATGTCAGTCTGGCAGGTTTCATCTGACCCTGACCTCATTTTCATGGTTCATTGGTCAATGTTAAATTTTTGTGTTTTGTTCTGTTTTTCAAATACTATAAGAAGTAGGTCAACTATATTTGGTGTATGGAATGATTGTAAGGTGTACATGTCTGTCTGGCAGGTATAATCCGACCTTGACCTCATTTTCATGGCTCATTGGTCAATGTTAAATTTTTAGCTCACCTGACCTGAAAGGTCAAGTGAGCTTTTCTCATCACTTTGCGTCCGTCGTCCGTCGTCCTGCGTCCGTCGTCCGTCGTCCGTCGTCCGTAAACTTTTACAAAAATCTTCTCCTCTGAAACTACTGGGCCAAATTTAACCAAACTTGGCCACAATCATCATTGGGGTATCTAGTTTTAAAAATGTGTGGCGTGACCCGGTCAACCAACCAAGATGGCTGCCACGGCTAAAAATAGAACATAGGGGTAAAATGCAGTTTTTAGCTTATAACTCAAAAACCAAAGCATCAAGAGCAAATCTGACAAGAGTAAAATTGTTCATCAGGTCAAGATCTATCTGCCCTGAAATTTTCAGATGAATCGGACAACCCGTTATTGGGTTGCTGCCCCTGAATTGGTAATTTTAAGGAAATTTTGCTGTTTTTGGTTATTATCTTGAATATTATTATAGATAGAGATAAACTGTAAACAGCAATAATGTTCAGCAAAGTAAGATTTACAAATAAGTCAATATAACCGAAATGGTCAGTTGACCCCTTTAGGAGTAATTGCCCTTTATAGTCAATTTTTAACCATTTTTCGTAAATCTTAGTTATCTTTTACAAAAATCTTCTCCTCTGAAACAGCTGGGCCAAACTAAACCAAACTTGGCCACAATCATCATTGGGGTATCTAGTTTAAAAAATGTGTGGCGTGACCCGGCCAACCAACCAAGATGGCGGCCACAGCTAAAAATAAAACATAGGGGTAAAATGCAGTTTTTGGCTTATAACTCAAAAACCAAAGCATTTAGAGCAAATCTGACATGAAGTAAAATTGTTTATTAGGTCAAGATCTATCTGCCCTGAAATTTTCAGATGAATCGAACAACCTGTTGTTGGGTTGCTGCCCCTGAATTGGTAATTTTAAGGAAATTTTGCTGTTTTTGGTTATTATCTTGAATATTATTATAGATAGAGATAAACTGTAAACAGCAATAATGTTCAGCAAAGTAAGATTAACAAATAAGTCAACATGACTGAAATGGTCAGTTGACCCCTTTAGGAGTTATTGCCCTTTATAGTCAATTTTTAACAATTTTTCGTAAATCTTAGTAATCTTTTACAAAAATCTTCTCCTCTGAAACTACGTGGCCAAATTAAACCAAACTTGGCCACAATCATCATTTGGTTATCTTGTTTTAAAAATGTGTGGCGTGACCTGGTCAACCAACCAAGATGGCCGCCACGGCTAAAAATAGAACATAGGGGTAAAATTCAGTTTTTGGCTTTTAACTCAAAAACCAAAGCATTTAAAGCAAATCTGACATGAAGTAAAATTGTTTATCAGGTCAAGATCTATCTGCCCTGAAATTTTCAGATGAATCGGACAACCCGTTGTTGGGTTGCTGCCCCTGAATTGGTAATTTTAAGGTAATTTTGCTGTTTTTAGCTCACCTGGCCCGAAGGGCCAAGTGAGCTTTTCTCATCACTTGGCCTCCGTCGTCCGTCGTCCGTCGTTGTCGTCGTCGGCGTCGTCTCCGTCGTCGTTAGCTTTTTACAAAAATCTTCTCCTCTGAAACCACTTGGCCAAATTTAACCAAACTTGGCCACAATCATTGTTAGGGTATCTAGTTTAAAAAATGTGTCCGATGACCCCACCAACCAACCAAGATGGCCGCCATGGCTAAAAATAGAACATAGGGGTAAAATGTAGATTTTGGCTTATATCTCTGAAACCAAAGCATTTAGAGTAAATCTGACATAGGGTAAAACTGATTATCAGGTCAAGATCTATATGCTCTGAAATTTTCAGACAAATCTGACAACCGGTTGTTGGGTTGCTGCCCCTGAATTGGTAATTTTAAGGAAATTTTGCAGTTTTTGGTTATTATCTTGAATATTATTATAGATAGAGATAAACTGTAAACAACAATAATGTTCAGCAAAGTAAGATCTACAAATAAGTTGTCATGACCAAAATTGTCAGTCGACCCCTTTAGGAGTTATTGCCCTTAATAGTCAATTTTTAACAATTTTTTGTAAATTTTTGTAATCTTTTACAAAAATCTTCTTCTCTGAAACTACTGAGACAAATATAACCATACTTGGCCATAATCATTATTAGGGTATCTACTTTGAAAAATTTGTCCGATGACCCCGCCTTCTAACCATCATGGCCGACTTGGTTAAAAATAGAACATTGGGGTAAAATGCAGTTTTTGGTTTATATCTCTGAAACTAAAGCATTTAGAGCAAATCTGACTGGTGGCAAAAAAGTTCATCAGATTTAGATTTATCTGCCCTGAAATTTTCAGACGAATCCGACAACCCTTTGTTGGGTTGCTGCCCCTGAGTTATTAATTTTACAAAAATTTTGCAGTTTTTTGTTATTATCTTAGATATCATTATAATATCTAATATCTAATACTATTAATTATGATTTTAACCTTATTTTACATGATTTCCAAAGCATCAGTAAATACAGGTGAGCGACACAGGCTCTTGAGAGCCTCTAGTTGTGTTTTGCAAATACTATAAGCAGTAGGTCAACTATATTTGGTGTATGGAATGATTGTAAGGTGTACATGTCTGTCTGGCAGGTATAATTTGACCTTGATCTCAATTTCATGTTTCATTTGTCAATGTTAAGTTTTTGTGTTTGATCTGTTTTTCAATTACCATAAGCAATAAGTCAACTATATTTGGTATATTGAATACTAATTGTAAGGTGTACATGTCTGTCTGACAGGATTATCTAACCTTGACCTCATTGCCATGGATACTTAAAAATTTGTAAGGGGTTCCCTGAAACCTAGTGTCTCACCTACGATTGCTGCTGTCAGTGTAAAAGTGTAATGTTTACTTAAAATATGAGTCCATCTATCAGAAAAATACTAAAAATGAAGAAAAAAAAATATTTTCAAAGGTTTGCTTCAGACATTATATCTTAATAATTAAAAAGCATCTGCCAAAGTTTTATAAAACTCTCTGAAGGTATGACAAAGTAATTGATGTAACAAACTTTAACCCAAGACTGTATCTGCTTGTCAACTGTTAAAAAAACTAAGACCATTTATCAGTAAAATACGGAAAAATGAAATTAAATATTTTCAAAATTTCACCCTGGATACTGTCTTTTGGTAAGCTTCTGTCCAAATTACATAAAATTCCATGAAGGTTTGTCAAAGTTATTTATGACTAAAAAGCTTTAATCTCAGACTAAATCTAAATGTTAACTGTTAAAAAAACTAAGTCTGTTTATTAGTAAAATACGGAAAAATGAAAATAAGTATTTTCAAAATTTTGCTCTGGATACTGTATTTTGGTCATAAACAAGCTTCTGCCCAAATTTCATAAAATTCCATTTATGTTCTAATTCACTTGTTCAAACGAACATAAACTGAAAAAACGTGATCCTTTTCTTATATACTACCCGCGAAATCCAAACCGGTTCTTACCCTAGGTACTACGCGACTAAAAATAAC